CCAATCTCTTCATAGCATCGTCTCTCTCTTCCATCGCCTGACGCAACGCACGTGAGGAATGGTCAAATCGCTCCCGCATGTCTTCCGCCACCCGTCTCCATCGTTCTACCTCACGACGTATCTGCATGTTGTTCACCACGAGGTCGTCACAACATTGTCGCAGACTGTTACGCGACTCCCGCAGCCGTTTGAGGACAGAAGAAGCCCATCTCCTCGCGTGGATCTTCTCGAGGGAGATGTCACTTTCGCAAACTGTCCTCCCAGTACGCAGTGTAACAGTGATGCTATCACCCCTCTCCACCAAAAACCGGTGCAGGCGTTCCACCTCCTTCTCCGTCTTCTCCATTTCGTTGATCAGCGCACGTCTTTCGTACGCAAAGTCCCTATGACCACCCCCGGCCGCCATAGCCCAACCTCACCAGCGACTGTCGGGACCGTTCAAGTGCTCGACGTAGACTCACGACACGATTGCACTCACACAGAGAGTATGCCTACCGACCCTTGTGCACAAAAAAACAAGAGTCAAAAAGGCACATGTCAAGCCTCCCGCCTGGCCTCCCACAAACGGAGGACTTCCGTGCACAATGCGTCCCTCACTGCCTGCCCGCGTTACCGCCCGAACATGAACTCCAGCGGACAACCATCAACACGCCTATCCACGTCCGGCTGTGGACCGTCCGGAGACGACGCATCACTCACTTCATCGTCGACTTCTGGCACGTCACCCCACTCGTGAAGCAGGTTATGAAGGATGCAACACGCGCGGAACTCCAACCTCTCCCTTGCGATGTCGGTAATATGCGGACGGTAGAAGAATTGGAAACGCATCTTGAACACCCCGAAGAATCTCTCAACACAAGACCTCACTATCTTATGAAGAGCGTCGAACTGTTGCATCGCCCGCGTCACCACGGGTTGTCGCCCGCGTCACCACGGGTTGTCGCCCGTATGGAATGACAAGCCAAGGCAGGTTGGGATACCCGCCATCACCAAGCAAGTACCCGCCGGGCGCACCAGGGATTGAAGGCCGCTCGCCGAGGAAGGGGTCTTCAGGATCGTCCACAAATAGTGACCCCTTAAGGGCTCTCCTATACAGTGACGTGTTTTTCAAAACCCGCCCGTCGCCCACAGTCCCCGGAAAGCCATAGCAAAAATCTAGGATCTTGAGCTCCGAATCGACGACCAGTTGTGCTACGATCAAGAACCGATTGTGCCTTCCGGAGCAGTAGTCATCGTCGTCCTTCGATCGGGGCTGGTCTACATACACATGGGTGCAGTCAATGCAACCCCACGCATTTGGAAAACCCAAGGACTGAAACTCGGTCATTCGACGATGGCGCTCTTCGAACCCCCCGAACCCAACAACATTCGGATACGACGCATGAATGGCCTCCGCCACTTCTCTGATGGCGCGCAACCCGGATGTTTTGCCCATCCCATAACCTGAGCAACTGTGCCAGTGAGAGTCACCATGGGCCCATCTATGGAGAGCGTACGCCAATCTCTTTGCTGGAGGCAATGGCACCCTCCACCTTGTCACCTGCTTCTGGAGAAGTGGACCGACCTTGCGCAACAGTCTATTGAACGTTGACCGCCGCATGCGCAGCAGTCCTATGTAATGATCGTTCTCTGCATCATCAGCGATCTGAAGATCGTTCCATAGGCCAGCTGTCCGCCGCATCACCCACCATCTAGGCGAACGTCTTGGCAGAAGATTGCAGATTCCAAGAATAGTCGGCAAGAGCCAAAGCAGACTATCGTCCACACCCGCTGTTGTCGTCGTCCTCTTGTCCACCGAAGACGGTGTGATTCAAATCAGGCCCCAACAGCAGTGGCCTGATTGTCCGACAACCCAGCAGCACATCCAAGCTTTGGAATGCATCCTCCGCCATCCTGCCGGCGACGGCCATCACTGCCACAACGAGCTCTTCTCGCTTTCTGCTTCTCAGACGCGGCATTGGGAGACGGGACACGTACGGTGGTTCTCGAGAACTGGTACCAAGAGTCCCACCGTCGCCGGCACCGCACCACCGATCTGGCCGCCGAAGCAGCACCTATGCCTACAACCCGAGTGCTATGGTTCTTTCGGATGAGATGAAAGAGTCCCACCGTCCACTGCCCCTTCCAAACCTCCCCTATCCACAAATGGAAAGGCAGAATAGAGGGCTGGCAGGACCTCCCCTCTCCACAAATGGAAACAAGTGTCCGTCTCTCTGCTGGATTGTTTCCACTCGTGTTTTCGTTCAAAGGGCTTACGCGGTGCACATGCCTCCACGTTATGCCCACATGCACGCGAAGGTCACCGACGCGCGGGCGCATTCAGATGAACCGCACAACATACACCACACAGGACCCTCGAAACAACATGCCCGTGAAGTGTGCTGCCACCACCCCACTGTCATTATGAGGCCGTCAGAGTCACGCGGGGATTGTGCTCGTTTTTGTTTTTTTTGCATTTCCGGAAAACTTTAACAGGTTTTCTTTTTTTGCGAGAAAATGCAAAACGGGCGCCGCACACCGATTTACGCGTTGCATGTCGGTCCAGGCCCCTGACAGTGCTGACACACACAGACCTTAACAAAAAATATAACAGGGCCAAAAAAAAAAAAAAAAAAAAATTCAATGCACTTTTCAGGGTTGAGGTGGTTAACCAGGGCTGTTAATCGGTTATGGGCTCGTTACTAGGAATGGTTGAACAAGCCAAAGCTAAGCTCAAGTGAACACTTGAAAGCTCAATTTTCCTCTTGAATCGGACCATTACAACAAGTCAATATCACTTAATCAATATTATTGTCAACGATATTGAGTTTAAAGAGTTATCATCAACAATGTTGATCATTTTCCAATCAGAACCCATCACTATCCAGATCAATTTCAACATTTATCTTGACACATGAGTACTGTTACTTCATTTTCAGTCAGTGAGTCAGTTCTGACCAATCTCAACGGGATTGCTTCCAGATATGCTTTCATGTACCAGTATGTCAATGCAATTGGCTTCAAGCAAGAGGGTCTTTCCATCTTTGTAGCTCACGCTGAGCTTGCAGAAGGTATCATTCATGACTTGAGGGTCTACTTGAAGAAAGGCAAGGAAACTCGTGATCTCTTTGACTCGGTTTAGGTCTCAGCAGATGAGAGAGTTTGATGAGTGTGGCACGAAGTTGATCCGTAGCTTCTGTCCCAAGCTCTACATTGACTATCCCAAGCCCGCAGTACCTTTCCTTCTCACATATGATTCTTATTAGGGCGACTTGGTTGATCTAGCAAAGAGGTACATTTCTCCAACAAAGATTGATTACGAGGTGGTAACTGGACTATCAGAGTTCCGATACCTCATACGAGGGATTTTCTCCCAGCCATATCTCCCTACACTATGTGAGAATTTTTGTATTATGGTTGACTTTCGAATCATGGGACTTGGATGGAGGTATTCGGAACTCACGGGCTTTAGGTGGCTGTATATCAAAAGGTGACAATCTCAGGGATTACGCGGATGTGGCTCAAGGCACAGTAGACGCACAATCGAATGAGAGATTGAGGATAGGACCCTAGAGGGATGAGTGAGGACTCTTAACGAGTGTTGGTCATGTTCATTCATCCGTACTTTATGAGATTATTATGAGTTCTCACTTTTCCCTCATTTTTCTTGTCTTTGCCTTTAGTCAGTCGGTCTTCCTTTATTTGCATTGACCTTTCTGATGATTATGTTTACTGATGATCTTGTCATAGTTCACAAAATTAGTAAATTGTCGAAACTGATATATGCATGACACACCAAAATTTCATGATTATTATTTGCAAGATTTCTGCTATTCCGAATCATAATAAAAGATTCCTAAGACCATGGACCGACGAAGACCGCAATAGAAGGGTCTCGCTCGAAGCCGGACGCACACAACAAGAAGGGATTTGCTTTATTCAAATTTATTTCATTATTGCAAAATTCATTCAACCCCTGTGTGACAGTCTGTTGGCTTTTCAGTTTTCAGAAGTGACATAACTGAAAACCTTGTGACAACATGCGTTGGTTCTTCACCCACTCGTGCCGCCGACGCAACGGATTGTGCTCCACCGCCATGATCTTCGAGACTGCCTGAACCTACACCACAGAGGTTGTCTTCAATTCGGTTCTTGGAATCCATCAGATTCCTAGACACCGATGAAGTATCGTCGTGCCAATATTGGTCCATGACCTTGTATATAGCTTCCCTCGTAAACACGTGGAGCTTTTTATCAATCCGCTCTTTCGTCGACATCTTGAAGAAGTTCTTCAATCCCGACACATGCCTGTTATGGAAGGACACACGCTTGTATGAGGACTTTACTTTCATTTCATGTTATCCAACTTTTTGATAATTCCCTTCGCCTGCAACCGCTCCATAATATCCCCCCACTTGGCTTCCTTTTATTTCATCTTCCCGCTCATCCCCTCCAGCAATCGCTTCACCTCGACGTCATATTGTGCCTCGATGTGCACGAGTGCAATGCATTCCTCCTCTGTGAAGTTGTCCACTTTGGAGCTCCGCTTGTGGCGCTGCCCTTTGGCTGGGCGAGAAGGCAGCTCAATGTCTTCTTCCTTTGAATTTTCATCATCAGATTCGCCATTGCCTTCCGCCATGGCAAGAGACGACAGCGAATTCGTCGCCGCCCGTTTCGAATTGGTGCCCTTTGATGTGTTCGAGCTCCATTGCCCTTGCCGACTTTTACACGTAGTTCTTTAGCAAGTGTGGAAGTTTTTCCATTCATTTCACGCTGCTCAGACCTTGACCGTTGGGGGATCGACAGACCTGGCGACTCTACCGCTCCTCGCGGGGTGTGCATTGCACCTACCCTGGATTCATGTCATGTCCATCCAACGTGGCTGTCGTATTGTGCGCCCTGTGGTACGGCGAAAGACAACTGTTGAGATGAAGGGCCATACCCGAGGCTCGATGGATCCGACGCCTCAAGCACGGTGTCACCTGCACACATCGAGGATCTCATCCTGCCAGCCTGGTCCGAACCATACCCACCTCCAGCTGGTAGGCGGCTGTCCAACAGCGCCTCCCGCTTGACGTGACCATGTTGAATGATGTGGTCATAGCTGGACTGGGTCTCTCGCAGTCCCGGATCACCTCCCGCAGACGGGCTCAAATACTTTGTTGATGCAGCGTGAGATGCACCCGCTGTCCGTGTGGGCTAGTCGGCAGACAAGTGACGCTGGCTCCTAGAAGGAGCAATGCGTGTCCGGGACTGGCCAACCGTGGTGTTGTCCTCAACATCCTCCAGCGACGGCACTCCTCCTGCCACGTAAGGTACTGTCGTGCCAGTGAGGATGCTAGAGCTATACTGCACTTTGGTGCACTGGCCCTGCACTGACATATCATCCGGAAGCAGTTGAAGGTGTGGAGGGATGCTTGCACCACCGTCCAAAGCTGGTCTCCAGTATGGAGCAGGACCGTTGCGCTGCCCACCTGTGTGAATGTCCTCCGGGAGCGGTTGGAAAATCCGACGTGGAGGAAGCCTGACAGCGCCGTCCATGGACGTTCCCATACACAGCCCCGACGTCATTTGTGCGAACGGGCTAGAGTTTAGGTCTTGCAGATGCGGCATGATATTGCACACCGGTGCGCGTTCCTGCTGGCCTGTGCCGCTCATGTGGACCTCCATGGCCTTCGTACCGTGCCGACGATGGCGATGAATGCCTGGCGGCCGCAAGGCAGAGTGGGGCAGAGGAGAGAACAGGGTCCGCACGAGCAGTGAGGCCAGCCAAAGTGCAAGGCCGATGTAAGCCAGCAGCACCATAGTTGGCGCGGGGAGCATGTTGAATGGATGGCAAAACGACCACTCCCGTCTCAATGTGAGCACCCACTGCCGCATTCGGAAGGCTCGCAGTGTAGTGCCTCCTCCCGACGTGGAGTTCTTATCCATGGCCACCCAGCCCGGCCCACCCCCACCCATGCTTCGATCCATCAGTAACACACTTCCGTACAACCTCATCATGCCTCTGTTCGATCGACCTCTCTCACATTGGCGGGTGAAGGGGCTCACTCCACTACTCTCGAAATGTGCAAAACGAGAGCGAATCTTCCGCTAGAACATGGAAAGAAACACCGCCACAATTTTTGTCTTTTGCGCATGTCGAGAGTAGTGGAGCGACGCCACATCTCATCTGATCCAACACGCCCCCCCCCCCCCCCCTAAAAAAAAAACCATGGTACGCTTTCCTCCCCACCTTTTTCCACCACTGCACCCACTCGGAGCTGACAATGATCTCGCACTGGTATAGATCCCACGTACACGGGCTCCTTCAGACACCGCACGCCATCTTCACCACGGACAAGCCAACACATGAATTGCCACACCGGAAGATGACGGGCTCAACTGCAGGAGGTGCGCGCCATAGCCGTCTACCTTGGACGAGACTGCATCCACCTTCTTCGACGAACTGCCATCGAAACTGTCCCACACTTCCCCATCACCACGAAACGGGACGCATTGTGCAGGCAGCGCTTCCCCGCAGCCAGTTAAACGCCCCCCCACCCCCCACCCCCGGTGCTTCCCCGCAGCCAGTCCCCCCCCCCTTTTTTTTTTTTTGGGGGGGGGGGGGGGGAACAAATGCTCCAGTCTATTCATGGGGAGCAACACGAGCTGGGACCGGGCCCAGCGTCCCATATAAAAATATACAAATGATTTGAAATACCAGGGCCATTACCTGGCTTCGGCTAGGAACAATCTGAGAACTTCGAAGAGATTCTAGAAAAAAAAAGGAAAGACATGGGTAACTGCTAACCTATTGCTAGCAACACTTACCAAGTCAAAACGGCAAACCACAGAAGCACTTTGAATACTCCGAACCCTTGCAAAACTCTCCTCATGAGATAGGCTAAGATTCAGAAAAAAATAACCACCACAATCCAACTCAAACCCTCACTGCATGCAAGAAACCGCCGCTCAGGCTTTCAGTCCTCGTACCAGAAGTCGCCAGTTCTCACACCCCCCTTGCTAGGGTGACAAGGCAACACAAACTGCCCCAGCACCGAACTGACTGTTTTCTGACGGACAGGAGGTGTCTTCCTCCCTCAACAACCTCCTTAGCTGCAAACCCCCCTGCCGGGTTACAGGGTCACCGTCCCAGAGCCAGTCCCCCCGCCTCACCTGCCGAAAAATGGGATTTGTAAAGGCCCGTTCAGCAGCCACCTTCAGCCCCTCCGCCACCGGGCACATTCCGCAGCCAGTCTCCCCCCCCCTTCAGACTGGGACCACGCGCGGTAGTATGAATGCTTGCAGTTCACAAGTGCTCTAGAAGCACTTCACGGCAGCCATGGCGTGCTTTGTCCGTCTAGACCCAGGGTCACTCTAGAAATCCGGCGGCCTTTCAAGAAACCGTTCGACCACCCTTGCAAAAACCGAGGTTGCAGGCAGGCCAGCAAGGCAAGGACCCCACTGCAGTGCGGATGGAAAAGACGTTTGCCCCTGCGTGGACAACGCGTGTTGGCCGTGTCATGTAGCTCTCTTGAAAAGTGGTCTGACATCTGAGACGCCTTCTCGAGTTTGAACGTCTAGAGTAAGTGGAGCTATGTTCTCTTTTCTTTTGGGAACAAGGGGGGTAAACGTTGACATAGGCGCCTAACGCACGCGCGGAAGGGTGGGCATCTTGGAGCTGGACACGTCACAGGCTGACGTGCAGCGAGCTCCTAACATGTGTCACTAACTGTGACACGTGTTTCGATAGCGGTTCTCCAGAGTGGTGACCTTCACAGAGAAGGTGTTAGCCGCTTCTCCACTAGGAAGCTCTCCTCAGTGGCCGGAGTGTAGTGGAGAATTGCCTACCGAACAAAAGTGTGTGTGGAAAGCAGAGTGGACAGCAAACGATTTATGACGTGACATGGCGATCTGCCTCAAGGAAGAATCATCTCATCATCATAACGTTCTGCATAGTACAAGGAGTTAGCATTTACGTTCGCCATTGCGAATGAGAAGGTTTTTTTGTCAACGTCAGCGCTATTAATAGAGTATTAATAGAATACAGGTGCGTCACATCAGAGGAGTCAAAAGTAGTTCTGAGTTGAAAGAACGCAAGTGGAGACTAGCAGCAGAGGTTTCAATGGTAGTTGAGGGCAAAAGAAACGTCATTAATCAAAGACGATCGAGAGAAGATCTACAATTAGAGAGGTCAAATACATTTTGAGTTATAAGCGACGTCATTGCGTATGGTCAAAATTCCAGGTTCCTAGTCCAGAGGTAAGAGGAGTAGGCCACATAAGGGGGCGCAGAAGGACTGACATTACATCCTAATTAAGTTCGGAGTGAGACGTCAACAGGAATAAATGTCTGACCCCCCCAGTTTCCTTACCTCCTCGAAATTTAGACTGACAACAACAAGAGGAAGCCAAAAGAGACAAGAGATAGCGTAGGAGGAGAAGACTGCGTTTCAATATCCAAAGTACGGCACCTGGGGAGAAACCTCTAGCATGGAAAAAGCAGTGGTGTAGCGGACCCACCAGGTGTGGTGCTCCGCTAGTGACAGAGATGGAGATGGAGGAAGAAGGGGGGAGCGAGATGGCACAACGCAGCTCCCCACACAAGACTCCAACGCACGTACTCCAAAATGTGCAAGTGAAGAATGAGGACGAAACAGACAACTGCTGGGGTATACCCCAGCGGACTGACTGGACTGGACTGGACTGGCTGGTACCGACAGAGGTACCGGCCTGGCCTGGACTGGACTGCCCCCGAATAGAACACACGCCTGTGAGAACAGGCCAAGGGGCTGGTCTCAAAGGCCAACCACAGGTCCGCTACACGATCCTCGACCTGTGATGGATCGCCTAGATGCAAACACGCTTCCGCCAAGAAGCGGAATTCTACCAAAGGAAAAGAAAACCTGAGTCGTCTAGGGTGCGGAGCAAGCTCCATGCTGAGTCCATGCGATGCAACCTAGGATAGAAAATGTCACAAAACAGCAATGTCACAGCTAACAGCCTAAGTGAAAGCAAAAACAACTAACTAGCATACATGTCCTAGGAAAGCAAAAGCAACTAACTAGCATACATGTCCTAGGAAAGCAGAAAGTAGTGACAACTAGATCCTAGAATGTTGGAGGCAGTAGCCTCAGTCTGGGAACAACTGACTAGTGTATAAGTCCTAAGAACAGCAAAAGCAAAACAGCTAAATCCTAGAAATGTCAGAGGCAGTAGCCTCAGTCTGAGAGCAACAAAGCAACAACAAGTCAACAATATGTCACAGGAGAAGTGTGTCGCAAACCAAAGGGTGGGATGGTCTCTGAGGGTGGCGAATGCAGCCTAGGGGTCAAAAACTCCTAAGGGCATCCACACATAGTGACAGGGGGAAACACATGTCATTAGGCTCAATGAGGGTAGGGAACTGGGAGCGAACAGAACCAATGACCCTAACAGATAGACCATCAGGGCGGGTAAAGCTCGACTAAGGGGTGACCGCTATGGAGGGTCGACCATGCAAGGAAACAAGGGAGCCTGGTATACTGGTCGCACCTAGATGAAGCATGCGGGGCTGCCTAACTAGGGCGTAAGGGCCGGCAGAGGGTAGAAAGGTGATTGGTAGGGGAATCATACAAATGACTCCTAAGTGAGGGAAGTCGGAGCTAGATCCGTAAGATGGGAAACCAGGGCAACGCTACGGTCCCGATGCCTATGCGTATACCAAGGGAGAGCCCAACTCAGAGGAACCCGGCTAAAGGGAGGCCATCATGCGACACAAGCAGGGTACTGTACAGGGTAAAGTGGTAAGAGAGTGGTGACGTTTGAAGTAAGCAGAGCTGATCGTGACGAAGTCGATGAAGTTGCCGATGACGTCCACGATGAGAAGTCCGGAATGTTGTCGAGGAAGAGCCGCAATGTCGACGAGCTAAAGTAGCAAAACTGGAGTAGATGGAGTATGAGAAGTCAAGGACGTGGGAAGGTAAGTCAGAGTCAATCGTCGTATCGAGCAGGACGACGACGAGTGCGCTGTGGACGCTCAGAAGCATCCGGCTGCTGCTGAAGGTCTGCCTCGGATGAAGCAGGCTCGACTTCAGCGGTCTCCTCAGCCGGGGGAGAAGGAGGAGGGTCAGTGGGCTGAGGAGGAGCAGTGAACCCAGCACCACGAGCACGGTCATAGGCACGCACCAACATGCGAGTGTGCTGCAAGTGCTCGAGGGGCTCCCAGGTGGCGTCCTCATCAGGGTAACCCTTCCAACTTATGAGATACTCGACGTGGGGAGGGTTGTCGTCGGTGGCTCGGCGACCAATGATGTTTGAAATGAGGAACTCCTCGTGGCCGTCCACCATGATGGGTGGAGGGCGCTCGTATGGTCGTTCAGCGAAACGCTCAGACAGTCTGTGGTAAGGACGCAGTAATGAGACGTGGTAGACATCGTGCACACGAGTCTGGCGTAGGTAGTCAGGCAACTTCACACGAAAGCTGACCGGGCTAGATGCCATATCAGAACTGACGGCCTGGAGGATGCGGTATGGGCCAAAGAAGCGACGCCGAAACTTGCGAAGCGTGTCCGCTTCGAGTTGTAAGTGGCGGGCGTCGATAAGCACATCATCACCGACTTTGAATGGATGATCCATCCTCGATCGGTTCGCACGTGCTGCCATGCGAGTCTGGGAAGCGGCTATGTGCTCATGTGCGGTCTTCATGATCGACGTCATGTATGCAAGCCAATCATCCAGCGCGGGACAACTCTTGTCGGGGTGCAGCTGGGACGGTCGAAGGAAGTCCGCGGAAACATGCGAGTGATAGTGGAGATCGCAATAGTAGGGCGACATCCCCGTGGCTGGCGAGACGGCGTGGTTGTAGGCTATCTCCGCGTGGGCAAGATGGAGATCCCACTGCTGGTCGTCACGAACAATCTTTCGGAGAATGTCTCCGAGAGTTTTGTTCGTGATCTCGGTCTGACCATCAGTCTGAGGATGGTAAGACGAGGAGAAGCGGAGCTGAGTGTCGTACACCTCGTGGAGCCGTCGCCAGAATCGGCTGGTAAAGCGCGGGTCACGGTCAGATATGATGCTCAGAGGTAAGCCGTGGTCATGCACGACTCGGTCAAACACGATGTCGGCGACCTCACGTGCACTAATGGCATAGCGGCACGGAACAAAGCGTGCACGCTTCGTGAAGCGGTCGACGACGACCAGGATAGCATCATTGACCGCGAGGGGTCGGAGGACGAAGGGGACCGATAAAGTCCATCGAGATGGACTGCCAACGACCCTCAGGGATAGGATGAGGCTGGAGAAAACCATAAGGCAAGTGGTTCGCACTGTTCACCTCCTGACAGGTGAGACACTCTGCGACGTAGTCCTTCACAAAGTCATTGAGCTTCGGCCAGACGTACAGGCGGCTCACACGAGCCAACGTCTTGTGGAAGCCCATATCACCGGCGGCTGCCTGGTCATGGAACTCTGCTATTGCTCGGACACGTAGCTGTCAAGTAGAGGGAACGCAAATACGGGGCTCTTTGATGCCCTGTGAACCGTGCCAGTACACAAGACCGATGTCCCCAAGAGAGTAGTTCGGGGCGGTCTTGCCACTCCGAAGGGTCGCGTGGATGTCGCGATAGTCGGGGCAGTGGCAGTACTGAGTGCAAAACTCGTCGATCACCGAGTGGTGGACGGTGGTGACCGAGATGGAAGAGAGCTGGATCTGCTTCTGGTCGTGGTCAGGGCGCCGGGATAAGGCATCTGCGACCCGATTAGTCTCACCCTTAATGTGCTCAGTGGTGAAACTAAACTCGGATAGGTCGCACCACCAGCGAGCCTGTCGAGGAGTGAGCTTCGGTTTTGTCAAAAAAGCCTGGACAACAGAGTTGTCCGTACGCACCGTGAACGGTGCCCCGTGCAGGTAGTGACGCCAGTGCCGAGCGGCATAAACTACTGCGAGAACCTCACGTTCATCAGTTGTGTAGTTTATCTTGGCGGGAGTAGAAGGCTATCGGACAATCACCTGAGCGAGACTCGACAGTGCCGTCCTCGGCGATGGTAGGAGAATAGTCAATAGAAGGCTCGTCAGTAGCTGGACGAGTAGGCGTCAGTCGGGAAGCAGTGGAAGGGGTAGGTGGTGGGAAGCGAGGGATACGAGGATGAGAGGAATCAGGGTAGGAGGGGAAGACCTGAGAAAGCACTGCTCCTACAGCAAAGTCTGACGCATCAGTGGTAAGGATAAAAGGGCGATCAAAATCGGGTAAGTGAAGAACCGGTGCGCATGTCACCGCCTTCTTGAGGGCGTGGAAGGCGTCCTCGTGGAGGGGTGTCCAATCTAAGAAATACACTTTGTGTTGGGCAAAGCGGCACTTGCTCAACTTGGCGTAGAAGTCATGTCTGCGCAAGCAGTCAAGGACGTCGCGGAGGTGTCTGAGGTGCTCCTCAAGGGTACAACTGTAGACCAGGATATCGTCGAGGTAGACGAGAACGTACTGCTCCAAGATGTCCCTGAAGATGTCGTTCATCGCCCTTTGGAAGGTAGCGAGTGCGTTGGTGAGGCCGAATGGCATCACCGTAAACTCGTAGTGGCCAAAGCGCGATTGGAACGTGGTCTTCGGCTGGTCGACTGCAGCGACGCGGATCTGATGGTAACCGCTACGAAGATCAATCTTTGTAAAGAAGCGGTTGCCTGCTAGGCGGCCGAACAGCTCATCGGAACGGGGCATGGGGTAGTTGTTCTTAACCATGTAGCGGTTGAGACCGCGGTAGTCGATGCAGAGATGAAGAGTTTCATCCGCTTTGCGAGCAAAGAGGACGGGTGCACCCCACGGGGAGTTGCTGGGTTTAATGAAACCCAGTCTCAGGAGCTCCTCAAGCTGACGCTTGAGTTCGGTGGCCTCGGGGATCGAGAGTCCGTAGGGTGCCTGGTGGTGAACACGATAGTCAGGCACAAGCTCGATGGAGTGCTCGACGTCACGCATCGGTGGGATGTCGGCGTACGAGAACGACGATGGGAAAACGCCATGGTACTCTCGGATGAGGTCACGAACTGCGGGCTCCAGGTCAGCCGTATATCGTGCGAGTTCCTTGGTGTCAGCGTCAGCGCGCGACGGCGGGGTGGACTCGACGGACGGCGGAGGGACGGAAGTAGCGATGGGAGCCATGGAGATAGAAGAAGGATCTGGCTCCAGAGGGATGAGCTCGGCGTCGGGACAGGGTGGATCATAGTGTAAGAGATCCGTCACGTTCACCATAAAGAAGGTGACGTCGTCCTGTCGGATGAAGTGGGCGAACTGCCGAGGCGAGGTGACAGTGATACAAGGAGATGTTGTGGGCACGGAAGGCTCCAAGGGAAGGGAATCGGGGCGTGGTGTCGCAGTGGTACCTATGAAAGGTACGCGATACGTCTGTCCACACTTCGTTTTGAGACTGAGAGTGTTGATCGCCCAATCGGCCTCGGTGCTGCGGAACCGACGAGACCACGGAGTGCCAAGAATGAAGTCGTACCCCGTCTCCATCACATCTAAATGTGCAGAGGAGCGGTGGCGACGAGACGCCGGGGGACGATCAGTCGGCTCGAGAGTGAGGAAGAAGGGGAGGTMGGTGACCGTCTGATCGAAGAAGCGCTGGGTCTTGTCATCCCCTAGGGTAACGGAGATGGGAGTCGGAGACCCTGTCGTGGGTAAGCGGGCTTCTTTCACCACGCGTGGGTGAATGAAGTCGCCTTGAGAACCGGAATCCCACAGAGTTGAGTACATCCTTGTGGAGGTCCCCAGTCGTACGGGGATGATTAGGAGGACGCGATCAGGGTCAGAGAGGATGGTGAGAAGGCGACGCAGTGCAGCGACGTTGAGGGTGAGTCGCTCCTGACGAGCCTGGAGCATGCTCAAGTCTAGAAGAGAGGACACAACGTCCTCGTGAGTCGCAAGCTGCTCGCTGCAATGGGCTAAGCGAATGGCTCGACACGTCGGTAGTCGTGGCGGGGAAGGAGGGGAGATGGTGGTCTGCGGAGGCGCAGACGGTACTGCGACAGAGGGATGAGTACACTCTGTCGGGTCCTGCAAGACCTCAACTCCAGTAGCGATAGGGGCAAACCGCGATGGGGATGTCGGGAAGCCGATTACAGAGGAGGGCACAGGTGTACACTACACCGTGGCTAGGAGGCGCCGCGGGGATGCGAGGCGCCGGGGGGGGATGAAGCACGACGCTGGCGGGAAAGGTCAGCGTAATGGCGGTCGAGGGCGGTAGTGTAAGGGCACCGCGAGGAGGTATGACCGTCCAAGCGACATCGCAAACACCCACGTCAGCCCAGAATAGTCGCGCGCTCCTTAGCGGAAAGGACACCGCGAGGAGGGACGAAACCCTGAGGGAGGTCCTTCTGAGGGACCTCGGGGGGCGACGCACCAGCGTGACTGGGGCGGCTGTGTGCCCGGGAAAGGGTGGAAAGGATGAGCTGGAGGCGCTCAGCCATAGGGAGAGTAGGGTCCTCCAGGTGGTGGTGGACGGCCTCGCCGAGGTCGAGGTCGGCGCTATGGTCACCCTCTGGTGACAGCAGGGCACCATCGTCCTGCTCACCATACTCGAGAGTGCTGAAGCGGCGCGAGAAGTGGCGGCCCTGCTGCGTGGAACGGCGGGGGCGACCGCGGAAAGAGGTACAGCGCTGGGAAGTGTCGTGAGAGGAGGAGGAGGCGTAGCCCGTGCGCTGAGGCTGGGAGGAGGAGTCGGGGTGAAGACGGGCTCGCATCCGCTGGTGGTCCCTGGCAGCCTCGTAACCGTGCGGGGCCGATGTGAACTCGTACCGCCATAGCTCGAAGCGGTACTCCAGCGGAAGGTTGGCCAAGAAACGATCGATAAGGGCAGCCTCGGGGAGGAACGCCACGTCACAAGTGAGGCGGGCGTCCTGAAAGACCTGGATGTGGCGATCTAGAGCGGCAGCGCCACCAGAGTCAGACCAGCATGTAGTGACGACACGCTCGAAGGTGTCAGTCACGTCGTATCGGGGTCCGAAGCGATCCTCGAGGAACGCCTGGAAATCCATGAAGGTCGGGGTCCGACCCTCACGAAGGGAGTACGCGTAGAAATCCTCCCAGGCCTCGAAAGGACCGCCACGTAGGCGCGTGGAGAGGTGACCCACCCACGTGTCGGGTGTGGCGCCCATGAGCTGGAGCGTGCGAGTGGCAGACTGCAGCCACCTAGACACGCGTATGCCTGTACCGTCATACAAGGCAATGCCCGACAAGCGGATGAGTGGTGCGCCACCGTTTTGGAGGCGAGGGGAACGGGAAGAAGGGGACAGCGCTACAGCGGAATAAGTCAGCGCAGGTCCTGGAGGAGGAGGCGCAGCTCACTGTACGCCCGGGCCGCATGGTGGAGCGGCGGGGGAAACAACGGCAGGCTGCGCGGGAGCTGCGGTAGAAGAGGTCGCAGCAACCGAGGGGATGGGGAGGAGGTAGGATGGGGATGGGTAGGGTGCAAGGCGAGGGAAGCGAGTCTGCATGGAAGGAAGAATAAAGGAAGAAGGGGGTGCGCCGAAAGGCGCGGCCACCTGTGAGGGTGGGGGTGGCTGAAGGCGTGAGAGGGCGAGGTCAGTCCGGAGCTGGGTGATCTCGTCCTCGAGACCTCGAACATAGGTCGAGCGAGGTGTGGCAGGGGGAGACGCACGAGCGGCGCGAGGCATCCCACAAGGGGTAGAGTCAGGTGACGTTGCGGTCGTGCGAAGAGGAGGGAGAAGTGGGGCACCCAGAAAAGTTGCGACCATGGTAGCGGGTTGTGGTACCGTGGCCGTAGTGACCGAGGTCTGGGCGGGTGCGCCCATAGACTAAGGGAGGACCTGACTCGTGGCGGTCGTCGTGCTAGGGGCGTGGACGGTCACCAAGATGGCCGGGTCGGGGGCAGCGGAGGAGGAAGTTCCACCATGGCCACCCTGTTGGAGGACGGGGGACCTGGACTGGGAGTCAGGAAAAGAGATAGGGTGAGGAGAGGAAGGACGACCAGCGTCCTGGAGTTGCCGCACGTCGGTGGCAAGGGTCGCCACCTGCACCTGTAAGGGCGCGAGGGTCACGAGTTGCGCCTGGATGGGCGCAAGGGTCGCGAGTTGCGCCTGGATGGGCGCAAGGAGGCAGGTGAGGAGGGTGTGCAGATCCCCCTGGGGCTGATGGCCTTGGTCCTCCGGCACGGGTGTGGAGCCCGATGTCGTGGCCATCGCCGTGTCGGCGGCGTGTGACACACCGTCGGCCATGGGGAGATGACGGACCGGACAAGAGGGGGCCAGAAGAGGTCCGCGTGAGTGGAGGGCGTAGGGGGAAGTCCGCGGTAGAAAGCGACGAACGGCGCTAGCAAGGCTAGCGCAGGCGCCGTCAAAGGGGGAGGGGTGGTTCGGGTCAAGGGTGCCCGAAGAGGACGGGGAAGTAGGGGGGGGTTGAAGAACCCTAAACCCTACAAAAACCCTAAGAAAACCCTAACCGAAGTTTAAGTGGTTAGGGTAGGGTACCGGTGACCTAATCAAGAAAGTAAAATAGCAAGCATAGGGGGGGGGAAGGCGGGAGAAAAATAAATAAACAGCGAGATTTCGAGAGAAAATAAAAATAAATAAAAAATAAATAAATAATTAAATAATTAAATAAATAAATAAAAAGATATGAAGGGAAAACAATATTTATATTTTTGAAATTTTCGGCAGCATTTCCCTGCCCCCCACGGGGTCAAGAAGGAGAGACCAAGGTGAGCACACTAGAGATGCCGCAAATAATTAAAAAAAAAAATGCAGAGAATAAATAAATAAAGAAGTAAATAAGTGGATGAGGATGTGGGGAGGAATGAAGTATCTAATTTGTCAAAAATTTTGGCAGCATTTCGTTACCCCCATGGGGTCGAAGTGTGCCGAAAAAGACTAAGTAAGGAAAAATCAAAAAATTTCGGTAGCACTTCGTTACCCCCACGGGGTCAAAATGTGTGCCGAAAGCAAGAAAGACTAACACCTAATTAGATTTAGGGTTGCCGTAGAGAAAATCGAATTTTCAAAATAAATAGAAAAATAAATATCAAAAAATGAGAAAAGAATGTGGAAAAGAAGATATTTCGAATTTTTAGAAAATAAAAAATATAAATAAAAAAGGGAGATAGAAAAAAAGAAAAAAAAAGAAAAATCGAAGTAGGGGGGGAAGGGGGGATGAGAAAGTGATGGAGAGAAGAAAGAAATATGTGGGAGAGGGAAAAAGATGGAAGTGGAAGGTGGGGGAATGATGTGGTGGCAGTTGGTGGAGAGAAGGGTGAGAGAATGGGAGAGAAAGAGGATGGGGAAAGATGGAGAGTGATCAAGAAACTAAGAGGAAAGGAGGAAAGAAAAAAAAAGAAATGAAGAAAAAGAGGGTAAGATAGTGGTTAGTGGGATAAAAGGTGGGGTGGGGAAGGTAAAAAAGAGGAGGGGAGAGAGGCAGTGGAAGGTGGGGGCAAGAAAAGGGGAGAGAGAGATGATACCTGGCCCTTGGTGTCTCCAAGGGCACAAGGTATACCAAGACCAGGAGGGTCTTGGCCTTCGCTGCAGCTCACCAACTGGAGGATGTAAGGGGGGGGCTGAGATCTTGATCAGCCCCTAGTTGCAGCACTGCAGATCAAGGGTGTGCTGTGTGAGCATACCCTGATGGGTGATGATGATGATGTAGGGTTGGCTGAGATCTTGATCAGCCACCCTACTGCCGCAGTCACATAGCCCCCTAGCCAAGGGGAAATCTTGAGCTGCTGCGAAGCTGCTGCTGCACCAGTAGAGAGATAGTAAAAAAAAATAATAATAATAATGTTGTGGCGCAGCCCCCTAACCAGGGGGGTCTTCAGTCCACAGCAAAGTCCCACGTGGCACTGCAGGTGGCCACGTGCACAGGCAGCAGC